TTTCCCTAGGTGGGAAGGGCAGATTGGGCATCCCTCTTTATATAGAAGGACAGATGAGTAGGCTCAGAGATGGTCATAGTAAACCATTGTAGAACACAGAGTTGACTTTACTTCAGACCTGAGCCGGAGCTGCATGCTATGAGTGAGTTTGTCTGAGTTAATTTTGCTCTCTTTGGGGAGAAAGAGTGACAATGGTATGCCTTGTTAACCTAGTAAAAAGACCATATTTGTTTCCTATTAATATATTTTTCAGTGTTTTTATTTATTTATGTGTTTAATGTGTTTGTGTGTGTGTGGGGGGGGTTTGTTTGTTTGTTTGTTTGTTTGTTTTGCTGTAGGGCTTGTGTGCTCAGCAGAGAGAGACAGAGAGAGGAAAAGCAGAAAGTGAGAAATCATGCCCCAAGGGAGATAGACATACCACACTTCCTTCTCCTCCCATCTCTTTTTGGGACTCTGGGCATGCACACACACATGTCCTGCATAGTTTTCAAGCTTTTGGGTCTGGGACTTGAACTGTGGCTTGAACATGTGAGAGTCCAGTGCCTCAACCACTATACCATCTGCTGGTCCCTCCTAATTTATGTATGTATATATGTATGTAAGTATGTGAGCGTGTGTGTGTACTGCAAGCTGGGCAGTGATTCTTGGAGAGAAGAAGAACTAAATGGAATAAAATATCTAGCAATGATTGAGACCTTGAAGTGCAAATAGCAATATTAGTATCTAACAACTACTGAACATTTCTCTCTTCAGGCATGTAGAAGATATTAACTCATATAGTCCTCACAACAACTCTATAAAATAGGTAGTCTTACCCCATTTTACAGATGATGAAATAAAGCATAGAGAAGTTATATGTCTTCCTCAAGTTGGTAGAGATGCTAAGTGAAAGAGCTAGGATTTGAATGTGGGGAGTCTTGAGCTTCTAAACTTAATGATCATACTGTTCTTAATATAAATATACCCTAATCTTGTTAGTTTTTCTTCATAAAAGTTTTTTCTCTTGGCTTGCATTTTGTGTCTTCTTGAGGCTGGTGAGGACACAAGGTAATTTAGTCCCTCCTCTGGTGGAGTGAGTGGAGAGCTGAGAGTTGGGCAGGATGATGATGTTTGGAAGGGATGGAAGGTAAGAGGGAAGTCTAAAATTTACAGTTGAAGGTCAGAGAGTGTGTGGGACCTTCCTCCTAGGCTCTAACTATGGAGTTCCAATTCAGCCACCCCACCCATGATGAAACATCTAGGCCTCCAAGCGAGAAATACAGAGCTTGCCTCTTAACCACATGACTGTCCTTGAGAAATGGGACTTCACAGACCTGACCTGGGGGGCTCAGCAGAGCAGTGAGGAGCTACCACTGAGACAATCAGTAGAGCTGAGATGTTGAGTGAAAACTAGACCGACAGTTTGAAAGATTCTGTGAAGAGGATTTACAAAAGTGCTACTAATAATAATACTGTGTCCTTTTTTTTTTTTTCTTTCACTCTGTGAATAAGTTTTAAACCAGACTAGGTAAAAGAAAAAAGAACAGACCACCAGGGGTGTTATTTCTTTTGTTATTTTCTTTTTGACTCTCTTTTGAGAATGGCTGATTAGAAATGGGGAAAGTTCAAAGTAAGCTGCCCACTGGCTTCTTGTAAAAAATGACAGCTGGCTGGTGCCTCCCAAAGCTGAGCCACTCAGCTGTCTGGTAGAACTGTGGGGGGAGGAGGGGGCAGCAAGCTAGACAGACTTGCAGCCTAATGACAGAATCTGGAATGATTCACAATAATGACTGTGGATCTGAATTGAGGAAAACCTATGCATCTCCAGCATACAGCAATTTTTTGGCTTTCCTTCATTAGAAAATATCCCCTGAAAAAGTTGATTATTTTGCTCCTGCTCACATTACGCACCCAGTTCTAGTTCTAGACCCTGTATCAAGCGAAAATGAAGAAGTCACTTCTTTTCCCTCTTCATGTACTGTTAATTCTCCTCTCTCAGACTCCCTTCTCTCCCACTCCCCCCAGTCCAGGCAGATTTGAGGAATCATAGCCAACTGCTGGCAGAAAGCAGGGAGAGACTGAAGAAGCCACAGAGAGGCATGTGGCCTTGACTAGGCTCTGAAGACAGTTGCAGGACATGAAAACTTGGGCTAGGTCTGCAGGCTGGGGATTGGACTGTCTGCCTCTTGGATTATCTCTATAATAAACTGGGCTGAGGATGGAGGAAGAGGGCACCATATCCAAGACATTCCAGGTAAGAGTCAGTTATTAAGAATTGGGCTAGAATTCACAACACACATCATGGATTAGAGAAAATATTTCGATCATTGGACAGGAGAGTGAAAATCATTCTTTCTGGTATTATAGACAATTGAGGGGTCCAGCAGATGGTATAGTGTTTAAATCGCTAGACTCCCGTGTGATCAACTGCAGTTCAAGTCCTGGACCCGGCACCTCGAAACTCATGCCAGGTGCATGCGCTTGTGTGAGCAAAATCCTGAGAGGAGAATGGAGGAGAAGGGATTGCAGTGTGACTATCCCCCTAGGGAGTGATTTCTTACTTTCTGTCTCTCTGTCTCTCTAGAAAGAGCACATGCCCTATAGCAAAAAATCTCCAAAGGAAAAAAAATATACTGACAAGCTGACCTTGTCCTAGCCAAGGATGGATAAAACAAACAATATTATCACCAAAAACAAAAACAAAGGTCAGTAAAAACATGACAAAAAAGGGGAAAAGGAATAACTTCAATATGGCAGAGCAATTGTGAAAATGATTTACTTCAAAATAAATGGTCATTTTAGGTAATTGCATGACATTCTCACAAACTGCATGCAGACTTGATCTCTCTGAAATAGAAGCAGAATATCTGAAAATGAGATCTGGAGTGGGATAAAAGGCAAAAATAATAGAAGAGGAAATAACGGGATAAAGCAAGAAGAGTATGTACTCAACGGCTGAAAATAAATCCTTGTTGAAGGCAGGAAAGGGCAGTATTAGTTCTAAGAAGGGTGTAACACTGGTGTAAGAACGGATTTGAGAACTATCTCCCATAATTTAGAGAAAGAGGATAAGGAACTGAAGGACTGAGAATAATAAAATGAAGAATCCAGAGACATTGGCTGAAAAATGGGGAGCCACGTGACATAAGTAAGTGTTCTGAACTCAAGTGAAGGAAAGCTCATGGTAAACAGAAAGAGCTGACCCCAAGTAAGGAAAACACAAGGACAAAACTCTTGTATCACTGTTGCCTGGTGAACGCTCTAACTAACTGAAATAAGCACAAAACTCATCCAGTATGCAGACGTAAAACAGTCAGTTGTTCCTGAAGGCAAAAGTTAGCGTAACCTTACTCATTTTCTTTCTAGTACCCTAAATTCTAGAAGACAGTTTGGCAGCATCAATAGAGTTTGAGGAAGAAAAGGATGTGCTCTAAGAATATTATGTACTGAATTTTCCAATTAGCATTCCTACATTGCAGGGAACGGAATGATGTCACTGGACACACAAATGAGGCAAGACACCTTATTTTCAAACTCTTCTTGAAAAACTTCTTTAATACATATTGAAAACTGAGAATGAAACACAATAATGAACTCAGAATTAGATGGTCACCTATAGAAGAATCGGTAGTAAGCATGATAATAATTAAGAAAGAGGTAAATCGAAATGTCACTGTTATGGCTACAGTGCCTGGAATCTATTCAGGAAATAGAGTATTTATAATACGTACAATAGTAATGTCATAATAATGATCTCGCTGTCAAAGTTTCAAATAGTTATTGACAAAGATTGGGAAAGAAATGAAATGGAGTGTGAAGCAAAATGAAGTACTGAACTCAGTGTCTCACAGAGAACCTATGGATTTTATCTTTGTAATGTGTTTATAGATTTTATTTTATTTTTAAGGTATTTTTGTGTTTTTCTAACATGAGTAAGGATTTACCTGACCAATGAAGGAATCGTGAAAGGCAAAAAAGATAAAACTGAACAGGAAATAAAATACTTACAGGTGAATTTGACCTGAAAGTGAAAAATAGTCTACATGAGTTTTAGTCTCTAGGAAGTCATTTCCTTTTTGTCAGAAGAGAAAATAAAAAAGAAGGAAATGATTTGTAACATGGAATAATTACTAATAAAGGGAGGGAGGCTATTGTTCCTGGCAATAGTGAGATCTTTATTTATTTATTTTGAGAGAGAGATTTTTGCTATAGGGCACGTGCACTTGCTGGAGAGACAGAGAGACAGAAAACTAGAAATCATTCCCTGCTGTAATTCTTTCTCCTCCATTCTCCTCTCAGGATTTCAGGCACACACACAAACACATGCACTCGGCATGAGTTTTAAGCTGCCAGGTCCGGGACTTGAATTGTGGTTGACTATGTGGGAGTCTGGCAATATAATTATTATACCATCTGCTGGTCCTAAATGGTGAGATACTGATCTCTCACATTGTCTGGGGGTACAGTCAATAGAAAAGGAATCCCAAAAAATGGGCTCAAGGTTCTCCATAGTTTCACAAAACTATGTGAATATACAGTCTTCATGTAATCTAGCAACACTCCATGGAGTTTAGGATTCACTTACAGTAAGAGAGTGAGAAGTCTTGCCATTTTCTCTGGTGAGCAGTAGGTGTGTGACCTCAGAAATATTAATCTACTTTTCTCAGCCTCCTTTCCTCATCTGGGAAGAGTGAGTAATAGGCTTTTCTGGAATTCCTTCAGAGAGTTCAATGATGTCAAGTGTACAAAACATCTAATACAGCAAGAGAAATGGAAGGTGCTTAATCAATGCTGCACCTTTAGCTTCCAGCATCATGAGGTTCTGTCAATCTAAACATTGAGGGAAAGGCAAAGAATCAGCTGTCAATGAGAGGGTTATCTGGAGGGCTCCCCTTGTGTCTCTGAAAAGAAAAGGAAGGGACAACAAAGGAGAGGGAATATAATATCAAGGTGCAGGAGCTAGGATCCTCTCCGATGCATGGCCTCAAAACCATCATAGTTGGCAGATTTCCTTACCCTTGTACAGTCTGTTAGCACAATTCCAAACTGACTATGAAATATACTGGGGGAGGGACCAGCAGATGTAGTGGTTATGTCACTAATCTCCCACATGGCGGCCCATGTTTGGAGTCCCAGCCCCGGTACCTTGAAACTCATCCAGGGTTGTATGTGTGCATGCCCAGGATCCTGAGAGGAGAATGGAGAAGGGATTGTGGGATGATCTTCCCCCCTGGGGGGTGATTTTCACTTTTCCTCTCACTGTCTCTGTCTCTCTCTTTGGCAAGTGCATGGGCCCTAAGGCAAAAGCCTCTACAAAAAAAAAAAAAATAAGTAAAAAGAAAAGAAATATATCTGGAGAAAAATCTTTTCCTACTTATATATCCAATGACAAGGGTCATTGCTCTTTGTTTTAATAAATATAATTCATAACTCTTTCTCCAGGGAGAAAAGGGTGCTCTCAGTAATCCTTTTTGAACACAGAATAGTGGACAAATAATGGTATTTATGGCTCTCTCTTCACTTGGTTGCATAAGATGAGCACTTCTTGGGAAGACTGTACTTCCCTAATTCAAGCTCTTGCAGCCTAGAAAGGGAAACTCCTTTGATGAGTCATTGACCAAAGCCAAGCCTTGGCCAACCTTGATTTTTCAAAATCCAATCTCTGGGATCACACTCTTCAGGAGGTCTCTCTGGATCTGCCAACATGCTGGGCTGTTTAACATAACTCAACACCATCACCTCCTTCCTTCTCCATTCTTTCTTGCACAGGAGAAGCTAGCCTGAGGACATTTCTCAGACTTTCACCTGCCAGATTCAGGATTATATTCTGACAAGAAGAGGTGCAAGTATGATATTTCAAAAGCTGAAGAGAAGAAGGATTTTTATTCTCAGCTGGGCCATCACAAAGGAGGTTATCAGTAGATGTGGATGTTGCCAGTAGCTTCTTTTGGCCCATCCTTTTGAGAATGATCTACTTGAGTGCAACTTCCTAGACTCCAGGTCTTCCAAGCTGCCTAATCAACATGATTCCAAACCCATCCCATAGTTGTTTAAGTATCTGACTCTGTATTATTTCTCCATTCTGCTTGAAACATGTAAAGAACCTCTTGTCTTCTTTTTCCTGAGTTAGGCATCATGTTCTTGACAATCTTTTAGCACCTTGTTTTGGTTACTGCCTGAATCAACAACATAGAGACTGAGTTCGTAGACAGTGAAGTAAAGCAGAAACTTCCAGTTTCTTCAACTATTGAGAGAAGCCAAATGTGCTCTCTCTCTCTCTCTTTTTTAAGAAGAAGCTCTGAAGGCAAATCGAGAGCTTATGCAGCTGATGCCTGCTCACTTCAGGAGCTTCTCAGCAGCACACGTAGCATGAGCACAGCAAGTGGGGACTGAAACTAACGAAACCAACAGTAGTAAAGCCAGAACACTGATGAGTCATTTTAGTATCACAGGGTTAACCACTCAGATATATTGATACTCTTAGTTTAGACTCATTGGCCTTTTAAAAATTACTATAATTTTTTTTAATTGACAGAGGATGCATGCATTCACCTGTAGGTGAGATACTGAGAAAACAAACAAACAAACAAACAAACAAACAAACAAAAAACCACAAAATAAAACAAAAGAAAGAAAGAAGAAAAGCAAGAAAGCATCTCTCATTGAGAATTATCATGTCACAATTCTATCTCCTCCATTTTTCCCTTCTTTCAGGGTTTTGAGCAAGCATTCATATGTGCCTAGCATGTTTGTCAAGCTACTGGGCCTGAGACACAAACTATGCAGTTGGCAACGTAGGATCCAGCTGCCTTAATCACAAGGTCTGGCCTGTCCTGGCCCATTGTCTTTGTTCAGGATCTAACAGGTTTATCTATCCATGGAAAACCAATTAAGTTTCTCTAACACTTGAACCTGACAACCGCATTCTGTTTTTTGTAAGACTTGACAGCAAGCAGTAAGTGGTACAAGACAGAAGGAATTCTGTAGAAGCTGATCCTCAGAATGTCAGAGTGTGCAGCCTACAGTCCTTATTACAGCTGTTCTTGCCATTCACACACTGCTTTTTTGTGGTGATCTAGAGGAACACGGCAAGTGTCAATTGTCACATACTATAAACTAGAGATTGGCAAATTTTTTATTTAAAAAATAAAAAAAGATCAGATTTTTTTAACTTTATTCATTTATTTTAATTTGACAAGAGAGGAGCAGAGCAAGAGAGAGAGAAAGAGAGAGGGGGAAAGTGGAAAAGCAAGCTGCCAGTCCAGGACTTGAATCATAGTTGGCCATATGGGAGTCTTTAACCACCATGCCACCTGCTGGCCCCAAGATCAGAGATATTTTGAGCTTTGTGGGTCACCAGGCTCTGTCCTAATTACTCCACTTTGCCACTGTAGAGAAAAGAGAGACAATATGTAAATGCAACTTGTCTGTGTTCCATAAAATTTTATTTACAAAACAGGACATGGGTCACATTTGGCCCATGGGTTGTAGGTCATCAGCCTGTGCCCTACAGTACATCAACTAGAAGATGTCTTCATAATCTAAAGAATACACTGCCCACATTTATCTCTATTTCTTGACCTTAGAAACTGGACTTGAAAAAAAGGCACAGCTGGTATAAAAGTTTAAAAATCCTTGTATTAGACACATAATATAGATGGAGGAGAAAGTTACCATTTATTCACACTTGTTACTTTATAAGCACTGTGCAAGACATTTTTATACATTATGATACATTTGTGATGCAGGTATTAAGAGTCTCATAAAGAGAAAACTAGGGCACAGTGAGGTTCAACAATTCCCTTATGTTACACAGCTACAAGTGATGAATCCAAGATTTGAACACAACTCTGGTACTTTTAGCAAATCTTGCAACAACTGGTGTAAAGCAGCCAGACATACTCCACGCCTCCTGTCCAATGGCTCAAGAAGTAGTTTGTCCAACATGAACACAATAAATCCTTTAATACATAAATCCAATTAAGAGACAGATCACTTAAAAGATTCTACTCCTATAACACCCCATTTCTATGAGGTTCTTCTCATAGTGGTAGTTTGCTTATTTATTGGGTGACTGTTACAGAGTGGAGTGAAGAATGAGCAGTAATGCAAACCCAGTGATGATAAACAGGGGTGAAAATGCAGAAAAGAATACATTTGCATTTGACATGTCTGCTATACTCCATATTACTTCAAACACCTTCGAATGGAGCACTGTAGAAGGAGCAAAAGAGGTAACGTGTGTTCTTCAGAGCCTGGTGTGGATTTGATATTCAATTAATGTGAATACAAATGGGAGAATGAATACATCCATGCATGAAAGGAGAGATGAATGGGCAGACAAATAAAGAAGGCATTTTTTAGGACATGTGGATTGGTTTCTGGTGTCTGGCACAAAAGCAGTTATGTCATCTTAAGCAAATCACGTCACCCACATGGACCTCAATTTCTTCTGTGAAATGAGACATTTAGGTTGAGTGTTTTCTAAGGCCCCTTTACATTTTGAAGTTCAAATTCTGTATCTTAATTGGTAGTAGGCTAAAATAAATAAATAAATAGGACTCTCCTATTATATCTCCTTCATGAACTTGCCTCATTTCCAGGGTCAGTGCTCAGAAAGACATATTACAAATCCTCCTCTCAGAAGATCACTAGGTAATATACAACTCCATTCAGAAATGCCACTCTCGCCCAGCTCCCATCACCTATGTGCTTTACTGAGGGTGAAGTCTCTTGCTTCAGGTTACTCAGGCTCCTTTTATGTACCTCCTTCACGAAAGTTGAAGCTCTGTGCACAAAGACCTAGTCTCATTACACAGAGGTGCTTGGTTGGGATCACTCTGAAAAGGCCATACTGTTCTTTGGGCATGGGTTGCACAGTTTCCTTTGCTTCTACCTCAGCTTTCACTGTCCTCAACTACTTGTCTCTTCTCTTGAGGATAATTTTTAAAAATCTTATGATGAGTATAATACATGCCCTAATGGAAAAATGAGAACATTTTAATAAGCAAAAGTGTAAATATATTTATTTATAAAACTATAACCCAATGTAAATCATTATCAACTCAGTGATCTATCTCCTTTTAGACCATGTGTCATGTAACTACATTTTTTCTCTCCTTCCCCCCATTTCTCTCTCCCTCCCTTTCTTCTCTCTTCCTATCAACCCTTTATGTCTTCCCTTTTCCTTACTCTTATTATTTTCTTTCCATCTTAGCCATTTTTAAGTTATAATTCAGTAGTTTGCACAGTCACAATATTGTGAACTCAATATACAGATATTTTTGTTTTGTAAAACCGAAACTCTGTACCATTATACCATAACCTCCTATTCCCCTCTTCTCCCAAGCCCTGGCAACCATCATTCTCCTTTCTGTACCTACCAATTTGACTACTGTAGGTATTTCACAGAAGTGAAATCATACTTTTTTTTTTCTTTTTGTAATTGTTTAGCATAAGGTGATTTCACTTAGGATAATGTCCTCAGGTTTCATCCTGATTGTAGCTTATATAAGAATATTCTCCCTTTTTTTTCTTTTTTTTTTTTTGAGAAGTTTTCACTATAGGGCACGTGCACTCGCCAGACAGAGAGACAGAAAGCGAGAAATCACCCCCCAGGGGGGATGGTCACGCCGCAATCCCTTCTCCTCCATTCTCCTCTCGGGATCTTGGGCACGCATGCACACGTGCCCAGCGCCGGGACTCCAACAGTGGTCAACTACGTGGGAGTCCAGTGACATAGCCATTACGCTAACTGCTGGTCCCTTAGATGCTAACTGATCTCGGAGTTTGGAGCAATCTCACATGCTGCACCTTAAGCCGTAAACCTGGCAGAGGTGAGAAAGTCGTACTTGGGGTGTGGGGAACAGCTGCTGGTATTTGAAGTGAGAAGGGAAAAATGAAAGTGGGGGAACGACCGGAAAAGTATGGCCCCAGACTGTTTTATTTATTTATTTTTAAAGAGCTATTTTTGGTATAAGGCACGTGGGCTCTCTAGGGAGGCAGAGTGTGACATAGAGGATGACCATGCCACGATCCCTTCTCCTCCATTCTCCTCTTGGGATTTTGGTCATGCATACACACATGCCTAACATGGGTTTAAAGGCACCTGGTCTGGGACTTGAACCACAATCGACTATGTGTAGAAGTCCAGCACATAACCATTGCACCATCTGCTCGTCCCCCTGTGGCTCCATAGTTTCTTGCTCTGTCATTTGTTTACTGCAAGACTCAGGCAAGCTACTCAACATTTCTTTGCCTCAGTTTCTACAGCTGTTAAATGAGAAAATAAATACCTTAAGAGACCTTATGTGTTTTAGGTGAAATGTGGTGATTCATGGAAAGAACCTACAATGCTTACTGACATGTGTGGCACTCAATAAAAAAAGTAATTATTCTCAATACTTTTGTTATGGTTTCTTTGGCATAGCTGGATCTAAGTAATTCCTTATTGACCTTGAAGTTGTCCGTTAGTTTTATATTAGAAAAAGGCATGAAAAGTAGTTATATATTTGCAGTCATTTTTTATTTAAAGCCATTTGACAGGTCTGTTTTCCTAAGGATGAGTTGACCTACAGGGAGAACTCCAACTACCTGATATCCAGCCTCTGCCCATGGCTTCCTCAAAACAGCTTTTGGTCACGTAAACCTGAGGCCACCCGGAAGACATTACTCTGGTCTTGGTTTTTAAATAGACCCTCTCATAATTCATGGCCATGCTATCTCACCTGCTGATCTGTGGACCTGAAGCTTTTCTGGGGGCTCAGCACAATGATGCATGGCCTGGAGAAAGCTTGGTCAAATATTTACTCAGAGGAATGTGGCATTTCCTACCTTAGTTCTCTGATTACCATCAGGGTCTTATCTTTCCCCATGAAAGGAAGTGTGGACATGTATTAAGTTGTCAACACTAGAAAAATAGAAGGTCTAGAATCGAGGGCCTGAGAGATTTCCTGATGTTCTGCTGTGCAATATCTGAGTAGAAGGTGTTTCTGCTAGAAGAGGGTGGTTGGGGTTATCTGAGGCTGGGAAGTCTGTGAATGCAGGTGTTCTTTGGTGGATAGTACATCCACCTTCTCATTAAACTCAAAGTCTCTTGAAGGATCCCAAGGCCCACTGTGCATTGTTCTGTTGGCCTTTCATATTTGTCTGGCCCATTAAGGAAAGGGTATCTCCCATGGCCAGGACAATTCCAATTGCAAGCACTTTATTAACAGAAACACATATCAGAGAAGCCTTGTCTTTGGAATGAAGCTGAGTGCTGTGTGGGGAGGACATGGACTAAGCAGCCAGACAGTGCTAGAATGAACCTGCCACTGAGGCTCAACTTCCAACATCGAGCCGGTCGCAAAGCCTCTCTGAGCTACTTACTCTTCTTGTCTATAGGCCAGAGACAATATGACCTAAAAGACAAACTTTGCATAAAGATTAAGTGAGTTGATATGTGCAAAGTTTCAGGGCTATAATTTACTTTATGAGATAATGAGGGATAATATAGAGCTCATAAATTCCCAAGAAAATGCAAAAAAAAAAAAAAAGAGTGTGTGAA